AGGGCTAGCCCTCGGCATTCCCCGGCACATCGAGGGGCCTGCAGCCACCCACACCCACCGCCTTCATGAGACTTCTTGAGACTTCATGAGACTTCATGAGACTTCATGAGACTTCTTGAGACTTCATGAAACTTCATGAGACTTCAAAGACTTCAAGGGACTTTATGAGACTTCAGGGACTTCAAGAGACTTTATGAGAATTCATAAGACCTCAAGAGACTTCAAAAGACTCCAAGAGACTTCAAAAGACTTTCAAGACTTCACGGGACTTCACGGCTGAAGTCTCTGCTGTTGCCCCCTTGCCTAACTCACTCACTCACACTTACATATTATTCACTAATCGAAGTTCTATATTTGTTTTTTCATCCAAAAGAAAACATTGCTTTTCTATCAATCTTCGTATATAATTTTGTTGTTAATGCATCAACAATAGTATCTAGATGTCTATCACAACAGTAAATCATCACATAAAAGCCTTGAACTTATTAAAAGTTTCACACACTGTAACAGACATGTTAAGTTTCTGTTTTTAACCTTTGAGCCAAGTAATTTATATTATAAAACTCGTCAGTGCGGCTCTGTGCAAGATCAAAGTGTGAAACTGACAAATTTTAATTGTTATAAATTTACGGTACATTGTCGGAGAGTTTGAAATAATTTATTTGAAATAATGCCAAATATAATAATACATATGATAAATCTTATAGAAAGTGGCAATATATCTTTTTATTCTTCGTTTCCTGGTTTCGACCAAGAGAGTAGATTGCTAGACACATCGATTTAATTGTTCAGTAAGCTTCTGGACACGCCACATTCTTTCTCTCGGGAAACTTTGACACATACTATTGACTTTTGCCTAAATTTAGAATTTAGTTCATGCATACTTTTCTATGCTCCTCCTATTCTAAGTCTGTTAGACTAATAATAACCTTGCATTAGTGCTCGGCATCAGCAATAACATCCTTTCACCGTACTAAATACCAAAGTTTACACTATGTAGACTGTAGAATCTATAGTAATAATATCCGATTCTTAGAATGTTTTGAAAGAGTCTAGATAAGTTCAGACTAATCTCAGCACCGTTCTTATTGACGATCTTTTTCCCGCTGCCATGAAAATGTCTCGAATAATTATTTGATTTCCACCCTCAGTTTTTACGACCTAAGAGAGCCGAAAAATCTCGCTTTAAAATTCGACTCACTATTATTTTATTCAAAAATAAACTTGAAGTCCATAAAAGATCATCAAACTCTTTTTTTGATTCATAGCGATGGAAATGTATTCTTTTGAGAACGCTTTGAGGGCTTCGCTGGAACATACGTTTTTGCAGTGTTTTTAATGATACAATGTATTTCGTTCGGATTTGGTTTAGTTCCTTTATTTCTGCAATTCGCAGAACTGACTGGAAAATGGACTGTTGCTAGCAGATTTCTGCCGAATCTAGACACCGGAATCTTCGACCGGGGTAATATAATAGAATACTACGAACAAATCAAAATGAAGCTTATAAATGATTCGGTCATTGTATACACGAGACAAAGTTTTAAACCAAACCAGTTTAAAATGCAGATATTCATGTCCTATAAATAAAACACTCAATTGCAACCATTTGGATACAAAAACTAATGTTTCATGCTTGAAAACTCAAAATTTTGTCACCATTGACTTTTAAAGAAAACTATTCTAGGTGAGAACTGAAAATTATCTATGAAATGCTGGTACTATTTGCTTACCTTATTCGTATACCGCTACCTAAAAGATAAGGCCATTTAGTGGAACTGATGCGGATATACTTAAATTTTTTATTGTATTGCTATTTATATAACGGAAACTTTCCTTTTTCGTTTCTTTTCGTTCTTTTCTAAGCATCATATGAAGGGAAGAAATGATTTCATTGCAGTAGGATGTATAGATAAGATTGAAAATGAAAAAAAGAAAAAGAAAAAATTTTTCATCTATCATATGGAAATTTCTTTCCTATCACTGAAGTATTAAAAGTGCATTTTAAATAACGATTGACAGGTTCACCGTATTTTTCCTATGAAATGAAAAAATGATTCATGAATTAATTTACTTCGCACGAAAATGACAGAACACAAGTTAGTTTGTCAAAGCACTGAATCGTATGACTCACAAGGGAAAAAACCAATGTTGCTTTCACTCGCGTTCTTCGTCCTCTTTTTGCGTGTTGTTTTTTTCCACGTGTTATTCTTGAGAAACAGCCTAGTTAATTTGTCTTTTTTTCCGTACACTGATGAAAGAGGGTTGTTCGGTATAATTCAAAAGCCTGTTTGCGTGTAGAGTATTTTCATAATGGACGATCAAAGTAATTAAATCGTTAGTAAACGTAAACAGACATTTCAATCTGGAAATAATCGAAAACACTTCTCAGAGATAAATACACTATAATTTACATTTGAAAATTACTTTTCTTTTCGTTTCTTTTTCAGATTAGATGCATCAAATATACCTTGCTAGATAGCAATTCCAATCCATTTACTAATGATGTTGCAGGTGATTTACCAGATTTTTTTTCTTCTCTTTCTGCATTCTGAAGCTGTATTTGCTATGCTTTATTCTAATTGGTTTATAGATCATGCGTCGTATCTAAGATCAGAGCAGAAGACGATTTGATTGGCGAAAAAAGCCATAGGAATGTAGAGTGAGTGTGGGTGTGGGTGTAGATAAAGAGATATCACACACCCACACCCTGATTTGCACGTGTTTGCTCAAGATGAGGATGCCGAATTTTCTCAATAACTACCATTACTTTTGCATTTCACACACTCTCTCATAACACATGGAATGGTATGCGTGGACAATTCGTTCTCGTTCATGTCTTCATTTAATCACCTACGTATCCAGATGATGACGATGATGATCAGAGCTATGTGTCATTTGAATTACCTGATCTCTATATTCTACTTATAGAACGAGATCAAATCTTGTTAAAATTTATCAAGTCTCTTCTGCTGCTACACATCCCAAATCTAATTCGTTTATCTGCCGTTAACGCTTCCAAAAAACAAATCATCATATTTGCTCATTCATGGGAACAAATCATTCCGGAGTATGTTCCACGTCTAAAGCTTTTTTGATTCCATGTTACTCGACCGACCGCAGACGTAACTCTAACAATTGAGGAATTTTTAGAGCCCTTTCAAAGAGAGCTTTGGCAAAAACGACAATGATACGTTGGTATCGATGTTGTATATGACAAGATCGATCATCTTTTTACGCTACCATACTCCATTCAAAGCGTTTTCCTTCAGAATGATTGCAAATCTTCCACGAGATTTAACGACAATACAATTGTCATGAAAGTAATCTAAACTGCTGATCAATTATATATTGTGATGTTTTTTGACATCCACATGAATTGTGCAGTCAATTTAATCATAAGAAAGATAGTTTTTTAAAACATATTTGATATTTTGTGAGTAATGTTGATCACTATTAATAAACAATTAAACCGTTTAATGTGTGAACCTTTCCGTCGCTTCACTTTAATTGATGCGAAGTTTGCAGTATACTTAGTAACATAAAAAGAATTGTACTCAATAAGTTGGTAACTTAAACAGGATACAGGGGTTCAACATTTCAGCCCAAAGAGAGAGTTGAGCTGACAAACGTTTATACAAACAAAGAATTATGCAAAAACAATTCGAAAAATTTATAGTCTAGAGATGATATCAATCTGTCTCAGAAAGAGTTGTAAAATATCTCTTTCATTGTAAAAATTCGAATAATTCATATTCGTCTTTTGATTTCATGATCAAGAAGCACAATGTGCAATAACGTTATTGTGCTTCTAGAGATGAACGAACTACAATGATATGCGCTTTGTTTGATTTCGCGTTTATTTAAGATAATTTCGAGAAGCGACTCCATTCAACCAATGATAATTATAAATTCAAAATTTATTCCACCTAGAAGAAAAATCGCTGCATGATCTCGGTTTGTACAATGGTTATGATATCCAGTAGATTCTGTGGATTATTCTCTCAATTGGTAACATTATAGTTCTTTTAATTATTAATGTGAAAGAAAATGTCATAAATGTCTCTCCGTTCTTATCCAAGCTTTACATAAAATATTTTGAACAAGTCGAACGAGATACAGATATAAAAGTCATGTGCATCGCATCATTTGATAAAAAAAGGTATCATTCTCTTCGAACGAAGAACATACATACAAGTAAAAGAAAAAGTATCTCCTTCTTGAATGTATTTACTCATCTTTCAGATTCAATTCGTCTGAAGATGTTTGATGATGGTTGAATTGAAATAAATTCTTTTTCTTATTGAAGAAAATCTCTAAAGGATATTGATACATGTATGTTCTGGCTTGATGAAATACTATTTAACGCAGATTAAACATTGCTAGGATATTGATTATTAAAGTGACATTTTTTCTTCTTCTCGATCTACGTATAACATATATTCGTTCTTTTCATGTTTAGTGATTATGCTTAAAAACCTGCATACGTAAGAAAGAAATAACTAATTATAATCGAATAAACAGTTGAAATCACATGAAAAGCAGAATTATTCTCTCCGAGATACTGAACTTGATAAGTTTGATTGTTACCATTGTCTGTAAATAAAATACTTCCATCTTTCAGTACAAGCAGCCCAACAGGCCAACCAAATACTTCTGGATGAGTTTCATTTGTTAAGAGATCATAAACAAAATCTTTATAATAACCTATTGGACGATGATTTGAGTTATTAAGCGGTATAAAAATAATTTTTGAACCAGTTGCTACTTGTCTGTTGCCTGAAACACGTAATGCTACGAATGCACCATTTCGGCATCGTTCAGAAAATTGTTGACCTGTATAGAAAGGGACACCAAGTGCACTTGAATGTGTTTGAATAAGAACATCTGGTGAACGTATAAGAACAGCAAGATCCGGTCATTCACTTGAACCATTATTGAGCTTATGTCTGGGATCTATTAAACTTGAACTCAAATAAGCGTATGGCCAACCAAAATAACTATGTTCTGACGCATGTATAAAAAAAATCAGGTACAAGATCGTCAGCAAATTCATCACGTTCTTGACATGAAGCACATAGATCATGTGGTATCGGGTAAAATGCTAGACCGACAGCATTTCTTAGGCCAGTGACAAAGGTTTTTTGATTAGTTCCATCAAAATTAGCAACTTGAATAGATCCTAATAGTAACGATTCAATATCAATATTTGAAGCTGAACCAATACCAACATACATGTAATCTTCTGTTGGCTGTATGGCAATAGTTCGGGTAATATAACGAACTTCACTATAAGACATGATTCTATCACCTTGACCCAATAATCGCTGAGAACAACTTGATCATTTGTAAGGTCTTATATTAAATTGATTACCTGAATACAAATATCCATTTACAAATGCTATACCAAATGAATACTTCCTGCAACATAAAATACGATAGTAATTAATTTTAATACTTCAGATTTTGATTTTTGATTATCGGCTGCAGTAAATGTAGCACGTAATTCTGGTCCATCAATATGTCGTGCAAATGCTTGAAGTAGTGTGTAATAACTTTGTAGAATTTTTCGTTTTAAATAATATCCAAATAATAAGAAATTGAACCAATTCGGAAAAAATATAAATGGTTTTTCGACACAATTAATAAAAGCAACTCGTTCATTTTTTCTTAATTCACCATCCGTTGCCAAGAAAAATATGACTTCACTGATTGCTTGATATACACTATATTTGCTTGGTTGTTCATCGATTCTACGTGGTACAATTCTAGATAAATGAAGTCGTGCTTCAGAGTCTGCCTTGAATAAATGATGCGGAAAGGCGTGTAGCCATTGAAAAATAATATGACGACTTAGTTTCATATTTGGATTATCTGATGAAAGAAATACAGTCGTTAAATCACAAAATGTTTGTTAAGATGAAGAAACATTCCAGCCCAACGATTCAAAACCGTTACATGGTGGAATATCTTGTATATATCGTTTCACTAATTCATATGAACCAACACCAATACCATGGTCAAATACAAAATACCGTAGATCGTAAACTTTTGAAAAAGAATCTCCTAATGCATGGAATAATGCATTTGGATTCGATTCATTTAGAATATATTCAATAAATGTTGCTAATTGTAAAAGCAAAAATTTAAAATGCCAAATGCAATTTATTTTAGCCATTGATGTTGTAATTAACTTTAATCTCATTGTTACTGTAACATTACGAACATATTCAGGAATTCTCTTGTTTGGAGTTGCTTGTGAATGTGCATCTAGATGCTGTATTAATGCCGATGGAGTTCGATACGTAATACGGCAATACATGATTAAAATAATGTAAACAGGCAAGGTAACAAAGAATAAGACTAACAATTCAAGTATACCAAGTGCGAAATGGTAGATTTTACGTAGAAATTTCGGAAAATTATCACCAAATCGAACGT